GCGTTAAAATTGATAAATGATCGGTTGGGTAGCGCTGAATCATGGTTATTAGGAAGTACTGTTTGGTAAAAACGCTTATCGAAAAAGGCAGAGTCGGCAAAACAAATTCGCGGGTCCGTGCAACAATGTAAAACAAGGGTCATGTAAAAACACGCGCTTATCGTCACGTATAGCCATTGTATTTAAATTGATCGAGTGTATGTACATAATACACGCGCGCGCGCTTTCAACGGAGCCCGAGAGCGATCGGGTTTCAAATTCGTTTTCCATCCCAAGTGGTGCAAAGAACCGAATTTTTTTCACGCGAGACCATCGGTCGCGTCAAAATATGGTAACGAACAACTCCAAGGTATTTTTCATCACGTGTATAATATATATTATACACACTGTAGGTGCGAGGACCCGCGCGACCGAGCCATATAAGCACGTTGTAGGGGTCCACACGGTGGTCATCCTTACCACGATTATTCGATTGCGAACGAGAACGTGGCTTTCCCACGCGCCTTTTCTCGCTTCTTACAAGCATGTGTGTATCTACCTTCGTTGCGGGGAAAAGCTCGCGATGATGGGACCCGCGAGATATATACGCCCAAGGGGAGAAACAAATGTGTATATATCTTGAGACGATGCGATAAACCTACCGGGGACTTTGTATATCGCGCGCCTTTTCGACTCTGGACTCGTGCACGTTGTGTTACATGGTGAATATCGCCGGTCGAGTTTTTTTTTTTTTTTTTTTTTTTTTTTTTTTTCGTAAACCGTGCACTCGGTAGAGAAACTGCTGAAGGAGAGTACTGTTTTTTTTTTCCCCCTCTCTCAACGATACATAGCAGTGCTGTGTGTTTGCTTCGTGAGCATAGAATATAGTTCTTTTGGGCAATTGACGTGTACACTTGTCACGCACTTTTGTTTAGCGTATGGTTGAAAAGAGAGCGGTTTGCGGGAGACCCGGGCCCAGCTGAAGGAAAACGAGGAAAAGAGCACCGGACAAAGATCGAGCGATAAACAAGAGAGAGTGAGATAAGAACCCTTTGGGAGGAGGGAGAAGAAAAAGAGAAGAGCGCAATAGATATAGACTCGATTTCCGTCTCCTCCACTATAAATTTATAACCCCGTCTCTCTCTAGCTATGTGTAAATAAAAAATATATATATATATATATATACAGTCAGGTGAGCGCATCCTAGGCGCTGCGCTATAAAGCTAAGATTGTTTTGAATTTTAATTTGCTCAAGTAGGTATTTGCTAATGTGATGTGTATGGTTTATTTTTCGTTTGTCGCAATGTTATCGAGAAACACGCTTTTCGACCAATTTTCATCGCTTACGCAATATTTATTGTAAAGAAAAAAAAAAAATGTATTTAATTGATAATACCGATCTTGTGAGACAATGTTATAAGCTATATAGTATGATTTTTCGACGAACCACGTGTATGATGTTTGCAATACCAAAGTCGATCGCGCGTTGGCACATTCCAGGTAGAGAAAGTACGCTATATATATATATGAGGGAGGCTCTTTATATATTATAAATATGATACTAAGTATATAATATATGTACTACCCTATTATAAATAAATTCCAACGAGTAGTGAAAATATACAAAGGTATGAAACGAAAAAGATTATAAATAAAATAAAAGATGAAGGTGTAAACAAATGTTGAATAAGTTGAAAAAAAAACAAAAAAAAAACAAA